TTTTGATCATTTGTTCATTTATTTAATCTGAATTAATTAATAGCTGCTTCTGCTATTACAGCCACATTTGTAACTTAAATATTCAAAATGGAATGAAAAGATTTAATTTCTACTTCACTAGAATTATACCCCACTATAAATCATCATCCAAAGGACCAAAATCCTGGATCAGCCATCCAAGGCCATCGGTGATTTACCTCTTTATAAAATTTCCAGCTTTGTTTCCCTTCATTCAAGCCTTTGGCTTCCACCCTCTTCTGAGAAAAAGCTGTATATAGCCCTTACTTCCAAGCATTTGTTCTATTCTTCTTATAGTAAATATCTTTCATCATGTATTCTCCATCTTATACATCCTTCCATTTGTCGGGGTGGGGGTGGGAGGTGGTAATTTGATTGATATATGGAGGTACTGGGGATTGAACCCAGGACCTTATGCGTACTAGGCATGTGCTCTACCACTGAGCTATACCCTTCCACTCTACATCCTTCCATTTGAATTGTCATCAGCTCTCCCTAATTAGGATGGCCAAATAAAACACAAGATGCCCAATTAAGTTTCAGATAAGCCACAACTAATTTTTTTAGTATAAGTATCTCCCATACAATGTCTTCAAACTGTATAAAGGTAGTTATGTTAATTTTCTTTTGCTGATGAAACAAAATACCACACATTTAGTGACTTAAAACAACTCAAATGTATTGAGTCACAATTCTGTAGGTCAGAAGTACAGGTAGTGTCAGCTGGTTCCTCTTCTCCAAGGCTCCCAAGGCCAAAATCAAGATGTCAGCTGGCCTAGGCTTTTATCAGGTGGCTCTGTGGGAGAACAAGCTTTTAAAAGTCATTCATGTTGTTGGCATAATTCAGTTCCTTGCAGCTGTAGAGCTGAGGTCTCAATTTCCTTGCTGGCTGTCAGCCAGGGACATCTCTTAGCTCCACCTTATTCCTCCTCAAATTGTCATCCTCTCCCCACCACCCCTCACCCCTGAATCTCTCTGACTTTTCTTCTGCCATGTCTCTGCTGCTTCCAGCTTGAGAAGATCCTGTGGTTAGGTGAGACCACCTGGATAATCCACAATAATTTCCCTTTCTTAAAATCTGTACCCTCAATTAGATCTACAAAGTCCCTTTTTTCCATGTAATATAACTTATTCACAGGTTCAAGGGATTAGGCCATTTTTCTGCCTAGCACAGTAACTATTCTTCTGGATTTTCTGGCATATCCTTCCTCAGGTGCTTTGGAGAAATATCTTACCGCAATATTGCTTAATTTATTTTGGCCACAGGATTAAATTTTGCTTGAATGATAAGGAGACTAGAAGTTCTTTAAAGAGAAATTATGAGCCAGACTTTAATAATCCATAGAAAAAGGGGTTGACTTGATTTAGAGAAGGAAAGATCTTTAACAGGTAACTGGTAAACCTTGTAAATGGAGCAACAGCCAGTAGATGATACAGGAGCAGTGTGGATGTCTGTTTTGTTCAGCAGCAGCAGAATAGGGTTGAACAATTACTATATCTAACATTATTCCAAGTATGATATTTTCCAGAAAGCTATTAAATATTTTTGCCTGTTATTAAAAACACAAGATAATTTCCTGTTTTGCACACCACTGAATTTATTTTATTTGAAATTAACTGACAGTCTCCTTTCTCTTAAAATTTTGTCTAACATCAAAAGAGCCATGAGTTGGTTTTAATTTCCATTTTAACTTATTAACTGGTATTCTGATTAAAGTTAAAAATCAATTCAATAATACAGAATTTGAAAGGGTCCACTATTTGCAGGATATTATATTAGATCTAGAAGATACAAATATAGTTATGTGATACTCCCTGTGTACAGTAAACTCACAGGCATATAAACAAATAAATCACAATACTGTGCAGGCAAGGAAGTAGAAGAAACAAGCCCAAACAGAAGGAATAGTTTACTCTATGAAGAAGTAAGACGAGGATTTCCTGTTGTTGATTTTTTAAATTTCTTTTTAAGGACAATTTTTTTAAAAACCAGTTTTAGGTTCACAGCAAAACTGAGAGGAAGGTACAGCGATTTCCCACACACCTCTGCCCTGATACATGCACAACCTCCCCCATTATCAATGTCCCCTACCAGATGGTACATTTGTTGCAATCAGTGAACCTACATTGACAGATCATAATAACCCGAAGTCCATAATTTACCTTAGGGTTTATTTTTGGTGGTGTACCTTCTATGGGTTTGGACAAAAAAGTATGACATGTACCCATCATCATAGTGTCATACAGAGTATCTTCACCTAAACATCCTCTAGGCTCTGCCTATTTACCGCCCACCCCTCCCCATCCCAATTGTGTCTCCATAGTTTTGCCTTTTTCAGAATTTCACATAGTTGGAATCCCAAAGCATGTAGCCTTTTCAGACTGGCTTCCTTCATTTAGTAATAAGCATTTAAGTTTCCTCCACATCTTTTCATGGCTTAAAGTTTGTTTTTCGCTCTGAGTAATATTCCATTGTCTGGATGTACCACAGTTTATTTATCCATTCACCTACTGAAGGACATCTTGGTTGCTTCCCAGTTTTGGCAATTACGAATAAAGCTGCCATACACATCCATCTGCGGGTGTTTGTGTGCACACACGTTTCCAACCCTTTTGGGTAAATACCAAGAAGCATGATCACTGGATTGTATGGTGAGAGTATTAGTTTTGAAGGCTTTTCTGGCTTTAAAGGAGGCATGAGCAAAGGCACTGAGGTATGAAAAGGCACTAGCATTTGGGAAACCATAGGTATGGCTGGAGGGTAAAAGAGCATGAGGCAAATGGTGAAATTAAGGCTGGAAGCTTGGCAGGGTCTGAGCCTATTTACTCCACGCATTTTATTCCATGGAGATGAAGCGCCAGTTTAAATTTTTTCATCGGGGCATCACATGATTGGACTTGCACTCTCAAAAGATTACCTTGGCTTCAGGTAAGAGAATAACTCTGGGTTGGAGGTCAGTTACAGGCTGGAAAACCAGTTTAGACAAGATGAGAGTTTCGAGGATGAAAGTCTAAACTAAGGCAGTGGAAATGATGATGGAGAGCAATTGGAAAGATTTTTCAGCCAGAATCATCAGATTTCAGGACAGTTAAAGGTACGGCGTCCAGGGAGGGAAGGGAAAGGGCAAAGGAGCAGCAGGACTTGAGGGTTTTTTGGAAAATGTCTGACAAGGGAGGAAAATCTAGAAATTTGATCAAGTCTGACTGAATTAGGAAATAAAGAAAAACAAGAAAGAAGGCAGGGTATTGGAAAGTGGATGGTTGGATGGTGACAGACTTTCTCGTTGGCCAAACTTTAATTTGGTTTCTCTGAGCCCTCTTCTCACCAAGGCTTCCTGCCCTAGCCCTTTCTTTGGCCAAGCCAAGTCCAGTTTTAGCACAAATCCTGCTGAGTCGCTTTAGAGAGAATCTCCCACCTTCGATATATCTGATCACCCTCAATATCTGACCAAATTCCTCCTCTGTCACCCTTGATCTCTGATCACTTTTAATAGCTGATCAAATTCCTGATCCCTAACCCTTGATATTTGATCACATTGATCAGTCTTCAGCAAGAATCACCCCTACCTTTGATGTACCCTCTAATTTTCATCCACTGACCCCTCTCACTCCGTCCCCTCTCATCCCCACCCGTCTTTGTTGTATTAGTAGTTGAGTCCAATCTTTCTCCCCATTTGCAAAAGTCTCAACACCTGTGGCAACAGCCCTGTGTAAAGTCTTCCTTATTGTTGTAACAGGTATAATTTTTTCTTTAGCAATGGGGAGAAACATCTCTCTAGAGCTATGTTTAGTTCCATATGTCTCAAAGTTTAATTTGTGCACACACTTTTAACTATTGTATGGCTAAATAATACGTCTACATCATGCCCTGCAGGGGTTTATCAGGCATTATGATGTACACAATCTGGCCATCCGTGCCCCAAGAGCTTAGCAAGCTGGCTTCCTCCACTTCATTTTAAAAAAAGAAAAAAACTATATTCGTCTAACACCACTATGTGGTAGCTAATACAATTACTTCCTTAGATCCTTTAAAATAATCTTATGGAGGGCTAAAGTATTAACACTCATGTGAGACGCAGCAAGCTTCGAGAAAAGAGAATCTAACAGTCTTGGTAATATTTTGAGACTGAGGTCTAGTAAAGACTACTTTTCTGTTTTCTAACCTCAACTTATTTAAAGGAAGTTTTTGTAACTATCCAAATTCGCTGTTGTAGCATGAAACCTTCTTGAGCTATAAAAGGTATAGGCATGGTTATGCTCTTAAAACTTTATTTTAAAGACCCTGAAATTTGAATTTCACGTCATTAATGCTCCAGTGTCCCAAAACAGTCTTTTTTTTTTTTAATCATTGAAAATGTAAAAACCATTCTTAGCTAACATATACTAAACAGGCGGCGGATCGGATTTGCCTTTATGGGCTGTATTTTGCACTTGGTATGCATAAAATGTCAAGAGTGAAAAAATATGTGTGTGACCAAGGGGGTGGGGGTGGGGAATCTTCACAGGCTAACTTCCAATAAGACAATGTATGTGAAAACGCTTTCCAGTGATTTTGAGCCCAAGTGGCCAAGCCCAAGGATGATGACAGCAGAGCGGCAGGGACCCCGGTCCACGCCGCTCACCATCCTCCAGGCGGCCGGTAACGCGGCCCCTACCCCGAGGACCAGAGAGAGCGCGGATAGCGCCTTCAGGGACGCGGAGTTGGAAGTTTAGCTCCGGGAACCGGGCACGGACACCCGCAAACACGCTCCCTCCGACGGCAGCCAAGCGGCGCTCCCAGGGCCCGCAGGCCGTGCGCGCGCGCGCGCGTCCTCCCGCGCCGCGCTCCGCCGTGCTCTATTGCGCATGTCTGAGGAGGGGGCGGAGCGGCGCCTGACAGGCAGGCAGAGGCCCAGCGAGGCGGAGGAGCTCCTTCCCGGCGGGCGGGGAGACTCGGGCCAGCCGTGCGTCAGTTCCGCTGGGGCGGGACGGACCTGGGGGAGGGTGGCGCCCCCGCTGCTGCTGCTGCTCTGCTGTTTGCGTTGGACGCTCAGCTGAGTGCGGGCCGGCCGTGGGACGCCCAGTGCCGGGGAGAGGCGCGACGGCACTGCCGCCCCAGTAGTCGCGGCCTGCAGCCTGGTGAGTAGCCCCTGAGGGGCCGGCGGGGATGACCGGGTAGGGGAGAGGGCAGCCTGGTGGCCCTGGGCACCCGTCCGGCCCTCCGGGTCTTCTTATCTCTCCTCGGAGGGCGCTTCCAGAGCCAGAGGGCGGGGAGACGCCCGGCTCCCGAAGGCGCCCGGGCTCCGGAAGAGGGCCGCGGGTCCTGGGACTGATTGGTGCGTCGTGCTCTCCGCCTCCTGTGTCCCCGTAGGTCGTGCTGGTCCAGACTCGCTGACTGTTTTGGTTTCTCTGGTCCCGCCCCACGCTTCCTGTCCTACCCCCGCGACTCCCCGCCTCGTTCCCCCGCGTCTCGTGTGGCTTCCCCGGGACTGTAGGGTTCTCCAGCAGTTCGCTGGTGACTGTCAAAAAAGAGTTTCCCATTTTTACATCATTTTCTTCTGTCAGTGCACCGGGTGAGTCTGCTGCTCGATGTTTCTCACTTATCAGCAGTTTCTTTGTAACCCCACCCACACTGAACTCTCTGACTCGCTCCCTGACTGCTGTTGCTTAAGCTGATCCAGGTGTGTGCTTTTTAAAAGGTGGAGTTGTATGAATAATTGTGTGGCAGTGCTTCCCGTCACTGTCATTTCTGTCATCATGCTGGGAGGAACTTGGTTTCTACGCCTAATACAGTGATAACTTTAAATAAAAGTGGTGACACCTAGGCAAAACTTCGAAGAGTTGTGGCACAAGGAGCTATCATGTAATCCTATTTAGAGACTTTTACTGCCATTAACAGTTGCATCCCAGTCTACAGTCCCATTTGCTGAGATTTTAAAAATGACAGGAAGGATGGTTTAGTGTATCGAGAAAATGCTATTGAAACAGTGAAATGTTAAAAAATTTTAAATCCGAGAATTTTTTAAAAGTATATTACCCTGTGAACCGAGTTTATGCCTCTTATGAGGCAGGTGTTTCAAACCCTTTGTAATTATTTTGTTAAAATGCTTGTGCAAATTAATTGTACTTTGAATCTAAGAACACATTATTTCATAATTTTTATTACTCAAACTTTTTCTCAAGTGGACCTTATTTTCCTATTTTTGTATCAGACGTATATTAAAATCTTGAAAGCAATGGCCTTTTTACATGTGATGTTGGATGAAAAGATGAGTTTCACTTGTTTATTTACTTGCTTCAAGTGCAAAGTTAATCAAGATACATCGTGTACTTTGCGATTTTTTTTTGCTTAGTAATAATGATAGATAATGTGTGCTGAAGGGTACCTGTTGCGTTCCTTATTGAACAAGTATTTGTGAAAAGGACATAGTTAGTTACCAGGCACTCTTACGTAATTCTAACCTGTCTTTCCCGTGTCTTATATTTTACTTTGTTCATTATCTGATTTTTTTTTTTTTTTTTTTAGAATGTGCTTTCATGCTCCGAATTTTTCTGGATCTCTTTTCTCCTGTGCTTTTTTTGTTTGCTTGGAAGACTACCTCTTCCTTACTCTGAATGGCAGAGTTCTACCCTTGTTCTCTCTACATCAGAGTTTTAAAATTTGAAACCCAAGGAATACTTAGTAGTTCTGTGAATATCCGGAAGTGTCATGGAAAAATATAGTTTATATATGCAAGTAAGTATTTTTCAAGGAAGAGGAGCTTTTGTCAAGCTCTGTGATCCCCAAATTCTCAAGAATTCATTACTGTACACTTTTCTTTGGTAAATCCAGCCTTGTGGTTCCAGCTGTCACTGTGCTAACAACTCCAGACATAAATCTACAGCCTTTGTTCCTACATCACGATTTGAATATCCCACTGTTAATTCATCCTGTAAATCCAAGAGATTTTTATTAAATTGATCCTCTTCCCAGTTATCTCATATCCACAAATGGCATTCTCTCTGTTTCTCTAAAAACCCTCAAGTTGTCTTTACACCTCCCTCTCCTCACCCCATTCTTTTCTGTCACCAAGTTCCATGTTTTGTTGTTTACCTACTTTCAAAGTGTGTCTCAGAGTAACCCTCACCTCCATTACAGTGCTGTGACTTGATTCATACCCTGTCACTTCATGCCTGCATTATTGTGATAAGTGAAGTCCTGTATAAATTCATTTTTTCCATCCTCAGCCAAGTTTCCACCTAGAGATTCCCTTAAAATTCTTCTCCTTAAAACTCCACTCCATTCCCAAGTGGCTGGTCTAAGCCTCACTATTCTATTTATAGCTCCATTGTATACTACCCTATAAATAGGGCGTCTGGTCTTCCCTGCTCTCCTCTCAGTTGATGATGGTGCTTCCCAGTTTACCTTCTTAATCTTCTTGCAGTCTAGTCTAACTTTTGTCCCAGCCGAGTTTGCTCGGAAAACGCTTACCTGCATTTACCTGTTGTGACCTGGGAGCAGTTAAAGTAAGCGTGTTGATTTTGTTGACCACTCTCTTTGTTTAGTAACTTTTTGATGGATAGTTACAGTTTCTAGAGAGGCGCATTAAAATAGTGTGATTGTGAAATTCTCTAGTCTTCCTTTAACTGTTCCTTTTTTCAAATTTGCTTCGTATGCTGCATTTCAGTGCCAGGCTGTTTGGTGTATTCATAATTGGTCATGAGGGTTGTATCTCATCAGAAAGAAAGAATGTAGACCCCCTTACCCTGATCTAGGCTTATGTAGCTCTGTCCTCTGCTTGACTCCTGGGCCCATCTCCACCATTTTTCCCATTTCTTAGCTTCCCTTCAACCGCCGTGTTCTTGCTCTTCCTGAACAGTCAAAGCCCATTCCTGTCTCTAAAGCCTTGATTGCTTTTTCCTGTGCCTTGAACGTTTTTTTCCCAGATACTTTTAATAATTTGTTTCCTCACTTCTTTCAGGTCTCAGGAACATGTCAGCTCAATTCCTCTGACCACATCAACTAAAAAAGCACTCTGCACCCTTTCTCCCCAACCCCCAGCTCCATTTTTCTTCGTGGCACTTCTTGACCTGTTATACGTTATATAGTTATTTGTTTGTTAATAAATTGTCTTGTTCTCCAAGACCTAGAATACTGCCTGAGGTTTAATAAGTAAATAGATTATTCCTTTTACTGTTATATAGCATCCCTTTTATTTTATTTAATAAATAAAAATATTTATTTTTATTTCATTTAATGCTTATTTTTTGTAATTCTTTTTTTATTGACATATAGTCACTTTACAATGTTGTGTCAATTTCTAGTTACAGCATAATAGTTCAGTCATACATACACATACATATAGTCGTTTTCATATTCTTTTTCATTAGAGGTTACTACAAGATATTGAATATAGTTCCCTGTGCTATAGGTATAAACTTGTTGTTTTATCTTTTTGATGCTTTTGCCTTAAATTTGCCTACAAGTGCTTTTTTACTTTCTTTGGGTTATATAGGCCTGGCATGTGATTTCCCCTGTTCCTTCATCTTCAGCGTTTCTTTGTCATTATATTGTGACACTTGTGGGTGGAGTTTTCATTTCTAAAACTTTGTTCTTCCCTCTCATTCTTTGTACAGTTCTCATTTTTTGCTTTTTTTTTTTTTTGTCCCCTCTCTTATACCACTGAACATTTTAAACCTCCTTAATTTTTTTTCTATTTATGATCTTGGTTGTACTTTTTACTGTTGGCCTTTGTGCTGGTACTCTCTGGAGGGAATTGTTCATTTCCTTGGGTGTTCGTTCTGTAATCTTTGACTGTGAGTTAATCTTCAGTGCTGGTTGCTTGGCGTGGGAGTTTCATTTGCCAAGAGCTTTGGAAATGTCCTCACGTGGTCATTTTAGCGGACACTGCCGAGGCCCCATGAAGTTCACCACCTCTGACTAGTATTCATTTGCTTAGGGCCTCTGCACCTCAAGGATGCATGACTGCAGATCCAGGCCTGTGATTCCTCTTCAATAGTGGATTTCCCACTGTTGGTTTTGTTTTGTTTTTAAACATTTTTTTGTTGTGGTAAAAATCAAGTTTACCATCTTAACCACTTTTAAGTGTATGGTTCAGTGACATTAAGTACATATTCATGTTGTTGTAAAACAGATCTACAGTACCTTTTCATCTTACAGAACTGGAACCCTAACCCATTCAACAACAGGTTTTGCCCAGTTCCTCCAGCCCCTGTTACTGTCATCTACTCTCTGTTTCTCTGAATTTGACCACTCTAAGTACCCCATGCAAGTGGAATCACACAGTATTTGCCCTTTAATTTCACTTAACGTAATGTCCTCAGGGTTCATCCATGCTGTAGCATGTGACAGGATTTCCTTCCTTTTTAAGGCTGCATAATATTCCATTGTGTGCACATAGCACATTTTGTATAACTGTTCATGGACATTTGGGTTGTTCCCACCTCTGCTATTGTGAATAGTGATGCTGTAAACATAGGTATACATACAATAACTCTTTGAGGTCCTGCTTTGCATTCATTTGAATATATACCTAGAGGTAGGATTGCCGGATCACATAGTAGCTCTATTTTTAATATCTTGTGTACTGCTATATTTTTTCCCATGGCAGCTACACCATTATACAGTCCCATTAACAGTGCTCAAGGGTCTCAACTTCTCCACATCTTTGCCATCATTTGGTATTTTTGGGTTTTTTTTTTTTTTATAATAGCTTCCCTGATGAGGGTGGAGTAATACCTCATTTGGTTTTTATTTGTATTTCTCTAATGATCAGTGATGTTGATCATCTTTTCATATGCTTGTTTACCGTTTGCTTATCATCTTTGGAGAAATGTCTGCTCAAGTCCTTACCCATTTTTTGAGTTATTTCATTTTTTGTTGTTGAGTTGTAGGAGTCCATTATTGGCTTTGAGTGTGGCTTTTTAATCCACAAGTACTTTAATTGTATTTTATCCTGTGTTTTTGTGTTGGAGATTGTGGGGCTCCTATGTTAATTCAGCTTATTACATTGACTGCAAATCTGGAGGAGTTCCAAAGAGCCAGGAAGCCAGACAGTCTTGCTCTTTTTCTCTCCTCCCCTCTATAAAATTGGATGCTTTCAAATAATATGCTCACATGCCATGTAGCAAGATTTTAGTTCAGAATATTATCTTCTAAACAGTCACAGCAGGTTTTTGGTTTCTCTCTTTCTCAGTCTTGTCCTCATTACTCCATTCTGTCCGAGATCTGCTAGGATCATCTTAATGTCATTCCTTTGCTTAAAGTACTTCATTGACGGTTTGATCTTTAATCTCCTTGGCAAGATTCACCAGGCCCTTCTTAACCTGACCCACACTGTCTTTGCAATACCATCTTCTGCCTCTCCCCTGTTACTTTGTCCAGGTCCTGGAGCAAAACTGGATGACTTGCAGTTTTTGCTCATATTGTGTATGCCTTTTTAAATGCTTTTTTTGTGTGTTTGCTTGTGTTTATCTTTCCCATTATCTAGAATTCTCTACTTCCCCTCTCACCTTTTACCATGGGGTGAATTCGTATTATGCCATTTTTATCTTCTTTTTTTGGACTTACCTGGGTATCCCCTCTCACCCTGTGTCTTCCATTCACCTAGCACCATCTGTTAAAGTGTGTTAAACTGTTCACTTTTTTAAATTACAAAAGTGATACTTGTTCTTTGTAAATAATTGAATTCATATAAAAGTAAGAAGTAGAAGCCCCTCTCCTCATTCTCTTTTGATTCCACACCTCAGTTCACAGGAATAAATAAGTGCTTACCCTTTCAGAATTTCTGTGCGAGTCTGTGTGTTTGTGTGTGTGTAGACACAAATTTAAATTGCATACATTGGTTTTTGTTTTCTTTCACTACATAATATCTCTGTGTCTGCATCAGTGTGTCTTTATATGTGTATGGTACATATTTTATTGTAGTTGCCTTTTTCACCGTGCTGTGTATGAAGAATATGTCGTTATACTCAGACCATCTAGTTCTCCTTAACTGCTGTGTAACATTCCATTGTAACTCACTCCATTTTATGTACATACCATAGTTTATTTAACCATCCCTTGCTAGAAGACACTTCGAGTTGTTTTTCAGTGTTTTGTTATTTCAGACGATGTGGCAGGGAATGTGTGTACACACTTTTGCATGCTTGTGCAGTTATTTCTGTAGATTCTTTATAGTGGAATTGATGCAGGAAAACAGATGTGGGGCATGAGAAGGTCTGTGTCCCAGGCTTCGGTTGAGCCCCTGGGATGTGCCCCACCAAGCGTGGGTCCTTGGCTTCGCTCAGGAGAGAATTCAAGAGCGAGCCACAGTTCAGTAAAGGTGATTTATTTAGAGATACC